AATAAATAAATAAATAAATAAATAAATTAGCTTTATTTATAATGCTTCCACTGTTAATTGCTTACAGGAATTGTGTAGCAACTGCATACTAAAGTTAGGCATTATTTTGGACCATTAGGACAGAAGTTCACAGTGAAATAGGTATGCAAGTCAGAGACAGCAGATGTTTAGTGGTTTTTTTAAAGATTGCTACTCCCATAACACCCTACCCAGCATGGTATTATAATAGGAAGATGTCTTACATTGTTGTCTATGGCAAGGGAAGTATTCATCCTGAATTTCCTTTGAGGCAATGCACTGGATCCAGGCTTGGTGATGCTTATAGTAAAAATACTGAAATCTATTATGCACTACTCTAGACATGATTAAGTCTAGATGCAAGATAACTATAATTGTTCTTTCCTCTGATTATTCGATACTCAATTTAAATAGGAACCAGTTTTAATGTTCTGAGACAAATTCCTATGTGATATCCAGATACCTAGAAGCTTAACACGGCAGATATCATGTATGTCACCTCAGCAAAGCTGAAATGTCATGGCCAGTCACATGCTTTGCATGCAAAAGGTGCCACATTCCATTCCAGATTGTTTCCAGTCTCAAAACCTGCAAATTTGGTCATAATAAGTATAGACTCTACTGAGCTAGATGCACTCTGCTTGTAGATTACACTTCTTTGTGCTCATGTTCCCAGCTAGAGATGTGTGGAAGTTTCCCACTCTCCCCTGTGCCCGAATAACGAGTGTCAACTACAGGGCTGACTTGCCCTGGGCCCATTTGGACCCCCTCCTACACAATCTTTGTCTGGCTCCATGATGGACAGGGAGCTGGACCAGTTTCCTGCTTTAGTGCTTCATGTTCCGTGTGAAGGCCCCATTTCTGCAAAAGGTGAAATGCTAATAGCAAGGCCAGGTCATAAACTGAATGGTGTAGAGAGACATAAGGGCCTCTGGCAGTCAGGGCAGCAGCTACTGCATAGCAAGACTCTTTGTTTTGTTTTTTATGTGCTCCAGCTGCCAAGGAGACGTCCTTAGTGGCTTCCTAAGGCAGCCACCAGGAAGAGTGAGGGCCAAACTTTCAAAGAGCAGGGTATCTGCACTTCTCTATACTGTTTCCATGGGTTCTCCCTGCCCCACCCTTCATGCTCTCTGGATGTGAAATAGTGGTAATGTTTCCCCAAGATTTTAATGATTTGATCAATGCCTTTTACAGCAGGAAAAGCAAAAGTTCATTCCCAAGAAACAAGCATACTTGCCTTACTCTTCCTGAGGTCCCCCCCTTCCCCACTTTTAATCAAAAGATGTGAATGCTGGGTTTAAGATGAGGGATCTGAGGTGGGCTCCTCCATTCTGTTAATCTCTCTCTGGGCATTTTGCTCACCCCTACAACCCCGGTAGCCTTGGAAATCCACAAACACCCTTTATTTTTACACATTTGTCCAATGACAGCACATTAGATTAGAATTCCAAAGGGTTTATAGCTGTATTTTTAATCCTAAATTAAATGTTGACATTTGAGAGGGAAGAACTTTAATAGTTTACAATCTTCTCTCTAAACTAATGACAATCAAATGAGCAAGAAAGTAAAACTGCTAGATTTCCCTCCTTCTTACCCTGCTTTGCAGTTTCCTTTCACCTCCAAAGGCCAAAGGACTAATTCTTCCTTTCTTGCCTCCTCTGTGTAGTAAGTAGGTCTTTCTAAACATATTTTATTCTTGTATGCCTGGTTCTAATTCTGATTAAATGGTGGTGTACAACAGTCATCAAATGTTAATTAAACTACCTATGTAATAATGGCATTTGCATTATTAATTTAGACTATTAATGACGTGTTAGCAAAAAAAATTATGAATAATGGAGAAAGTTAAATAATAGTTTTAGAATTTCACAGAAACAGCACCCTTTCTTAGGAAGACGGAAGTCACACACTCACAGTGGTGGAAAATTGGACCCCAATCTGTTATGCAAACACAGAACAGTTTGACTAGAGTATATTAAATTTTAAATATATGGAAATGAATGCTTGATATTCAAGCTTAATTAACTCTTCTCCTCAAAGAGTGGGTGCTTGACCCTGACAAAACCTGTACGTATACGCATTTCATGTTCATCGAGTGCTTCTAATAAATACATATGTATGGATTTTGTAGCACCCTGTACAGAAGAACAATTTATCCAGTGCCACAGCTTTCTCCTTTAGCCCAGTGTGGATTCCACTCTGCAGGTAAAATTCATCCTTCTGACATCAAATAATTCAGCTTGAAACAAGATCTAGTTTTAACTCGTATATGTTCATTTTAGTCCATAATATTTTGCTGCCGTAATCTAATTTTACTCTTGGATATGAAGAAATCCCAAGTCTAAAAACTGACAAATTGGAAGCAGCCCATAATAACCTTTTGATACACTTGGTTAGGCATTTTAACATGAAATGACTTGTCCTTTATGAACAGGCATGCACTGGGCTGCACTCAGAGTACTGTACTCTGCTTCAAAGGGAACTGAAGTCTTATAAAGCTGAATGCCCTACACTGAATATACATGACAGTCTGTCCCAAAGGTTTTAAGAAAATTTCAACTTTCTTCCCATGGTTAGACTTTTGGAAAAAAAAATGTTTTGCCAAGTCTGCAAAAAGACAGATACTTCTCATATTTATTGTTAAGAAGGATTTGATCTTGGAAGAGAAATTATGCTTTTTTAAACACTGTTGTCATTGTCACTTTCCGATTAGTTTGGGGGTTTTTTTGTTTTGTTTTGTTTTGGGGTTTTTTTGTTTGTTTTTTCCTTATTTTTAGGACCTGTGGGCAGAAGAATTTTTCTGCAGGTTTCTGGTACCCTTCCGTTTGAACTGAACAAAGTTTGAGTGTGCTGGTCACCCACCAGAGACCATCCAAATGCCATCACTAACAAGAGCACACGTAATCTCTAGGGCAATTTAGCATTTGTTTGACATTGTTTGAGATTTTATCTGGAACAGCAAGAATTAATGTATATAAGAATAAATCCATGTGTACTGCACCAGGAACAAAGAGCTTCTTGCAGCTTCCCTGAACCCTCTGAGGTATTATTTACAAGTTCAAGGTCACCAAGGCACTTGCAAAGATATCCTGAATGTGAAAGTGATAGAACAGCATATGTAGTTGGGCAAAATAGGAGCTTTCCCTACCTTCATAGCATACAGAGACAGCCCTACCCTTAGGGAGAGTGAGACGCTTACCTCAGGCAGCTGATTTTTTTTGTACCATGAAATATAAAATAATAATCCTGTGGTATCAAATCAATTCTGATTTATGGCAATCCTTTTCAGGGGTTTCCAAGTAAAATTCCTTTCTTCTGGAGAGCCCTTGGACTGTGCAGCTTGCCCCAGGCCACACAGGCTGGCTGTACTTGTAGGAGGCACAGTGGAGAATCAAACCCACAACACAGTGGAGAATCATACCCACAAACTAAACCATTGAGCTTTCCAGCCAGTTTAACAATCATGGGCCAACAAGTAAATTCTGACTTTTGGCAACACTTTTCGGGGGGTTCTAGGTAGAAAATACTCACAGGTGGTTTAACATTCCTTTCTTCCGGGGTGCCCTCGGACTGCGCAGCTTGCCCAAGGCTACACAGGCTGGCTCTAGTTGCAGGAGGCACAGTGGAGAATCAAACTCTCAAACTCTGGCTCCACAGCTAGATACCTAAACCACCAAAAGGCAGTAACAAATTTTTCTGTTGTCACATTTCTACTGTCAGTCTGTGAGTGGGATTTCCAACCGTAGGAACAGAAAACAACTGGATTCATTTGAGGCTGATGCGGAAATTTCAGATGGTCCAGAATGCGGCAGCCAGGCTACTTAGTGGGGTGAGAAAACACCAACACATCTCCCCCACTCTGGCTGCTTTGCACTGGTTGCCCGTCCATTTCCGCATCGACTTCAAAGTGCTAATGATCACTTATAAAGCCCTAAACGGTTTGGGACCTCAATATTTGGCAGATCGTCTTCTCCCACCCAGATCTACCCGAATCACCTGCCATAGCCAGCAGGGACGGCTGAGGGGCCTGACGCCGAGAGAGGCTTGG